TCTCATAATGATCCTAGCCAATATTGCATCATAAGACCATTTTTATCCATGATTTTGGGTTAGTATCATAAGCCCAAAATATTAGTAATAAACAATTAAAAATAGAATGAGATTCTTTATTAATTGCTTGATAAGTCTCAACCCAATGAGACTAGTTTTATGTAGTATCAAAAGAGATTTATTAATATATTTAACCATATGATACTTTTAATGTATCATTGATAAACATTGTCTAACTGAACTTAATTGAATATGTTAAGAACCTTCCATTGCTACTAAAATGACATACAATCACTTATGTTATGTTACAATGCAAAACCTTGAAAATGTCAAACAAGATATACTCAATCTCATTGGTATTTTTTTTTTTATATGAAGGGCATTCTATTGAAAAGCATAGGGGTCGATTATAACAGAGTAGAAACATAAGAACAACTCTTAAAAACTAGCTAATACAAGAAGACTACGAATGATGAAAAGATACTAAAAGGATACGTCACTGGAAAAGAGTGGAAAGCAACTTGATTCCCCAAGAAGATAGTGAACAGCCAAACACTCATTCATAAGAACGACGGCAAAAGGAAGAGAGCAGGCGAGCCAAACACTCAAACCAAACACGACAACCAATCATTGCTGGGAATCACCGAGTCCAAGAGAGACTGCTATTGGACACTACTACTCAAATCCTCCGAACCTAGTACGAGCAAGTCCACTAACACAAAACCAAGAAATCCGAGACTAATACCGGCTCCAAAACCGCAAACACCAAACACCTCAAGCAACACAAGATCCAATCAGTAGCACAAACATGTGTTACCTAGAACAAACACAGGCTCAACAGAGAACTAGCCGGAAAACTGATCCAAACGGCGAGGCTCAGGTCGGAGAAGTGGAACACCGGGCAACTTCAAACGTCAAGGCAGGGGAGGAGAAAAACAAGCCTTCCGCTGTGAAACCGAGATCCCAAAGATCCACCAAACCCGAGTTGGAGACCCAAGAGAAACAAAGAGGAGAAGGAAGAAATCCAGAGGGCCTCAAAGTCGAGAACAACCACCACAACACATCGACATTCACAACAGAACCAGAAGCACTCAAATTATTCATCTACCTTTTTCAATTACATGCTTATCAAAACCGAAAGGAATAAAGGGCTCACTTTTACGATCACGTTCACTTTGATTGGCACAGTGTAATTGATGAATCAGTCATATAATCGCAAACTATATAGCCATTGTGACATGTCATGGTTTTAATGACAACAAGTTTTCACTTAACATTTATCCTTTGACAATTCTTGTCATAATCTTTTCCATGTATTTCTGTTCTGTTCTTTTATTAGTCTCTCTTTTTTTTTGTCACCAACTTTTAGATATTATTATTCAAAAAACCAAAAATTATATAGCTATCTACATACATTCTCACGTTAAAAATAAATAAATTAAACCCACTAAAAAGTATATCAACCATATATGGG